ACATTTTGAATATCACATTTATAAAGTGTGTAAGTGCATTTTGGACTGTCAATAGCCTCTTGCTGACACCCCAAGGCTATCAGTAGCCATTCCGTTATTTTTATATCGAAAGTGGAATCATTATCTAATGTATTTTTACTTCTATATAGGTTTGGAGTTTATGTGGCTTATGTTCAAGATCATTTGGTATCACAAGAGATCAGTTACCAATGGAGTGTACAGAGAAAATATGTCATCATCAATACTGCTATCAATGTGTTAAAACAGTACAAGGTGAATCAAATCAATCATTTTTTTGTTTATCCTGTAGCAAACAATCTGAATCAGTAAATGGTCCAAAACGAAATCCATTATTAGAAAAACATTTATTATGGAAACAATTTAATATAAAATATGGAAGTGAAAGTATAACATTTTTAAGATTAATAGCATGTGCTTTTAATTTATTAAACGAAGTACGAAGCGATATAAAATGTCGAAGAGCTCATTTATTATCACGATCAAAAACTTTAGACAATTACTTACATAAAAAGCAAATAAACTTAACAAAACCAAATTCTTCTGAAGATGATAAACTAATAGATGACACTTACAATTTTATAAAAGAATTAGAAAAACAAGAAGAACAACTAGATGAAATTTTAAATAAACTTAATACATCGTCGATAACTGTTGAAGATTGTTTAAATAATTATAAAACTGTTTTAAATGGCAACGAAGAGAGTCAGTATTGTTGTTTTTTATTTTTATATTTATGTCAAACATTAGAAAAAAGTATAGAAGAATTTGAACAGTAGGCATCAATTACTTACCACATCAGCATGTTTTTGTGGATTATTAATCTCTTTTGTTGCGTTCTAAGCTATGTCATTTGTCAAGTACTTGTGAACCCTTCTTGTGAGAAAACTGGAAAAACCATCATGGCCACAGCATATGTCGATTACCCATTGTGACAAAAAACATTAGCGTGCGACTAAAGTAATTCAATTTTACTACTAACCTGTTTTAAAATATAGTGGACAACACTCTTTTCAAAATAACTTTTGATAGAATAGCGATAAAGAGGTGGGATTTTCGTTCAGTTCATAGAAGACACTAGGGGAAATCGATTAGTAAAAACACGAAGACCAAAATCCTCTCTAAAGCTGGTGTATCTGATGGATCTTCCGTAGTCAAGTTGCCATTTCCTTGGCTCCCATAGCATCCTGTAATTTCAAAAAATGCAGAATATACATTAATATCTATACTACGCATCCACACACATTCGAAACTTCCATCTATCACCGTTCGAGTGTGGCATGATTTTTCCCAACGCACTCCGATTTGTCGATCTTGATGCATGGTGATCTCGAAAGTGAATTGAGCATAGGTTTCCGACTATTCTAAATTTTGTTTATTAATTGTTATTTACATCTAGGCCCGTCTGACCAGTCCAAAGCGCATCTAGACGTGTCTTTTTATATCGAAATGCAAATAGACCCGTGTCGATGTTTGTAGGATATTTTAAGGAAACGAGTGAAATTATTGAAAGATAAACTGAAATGGAAAATGTAATAGCAAGTAGATTTGCAGATGATGCTGATGATTTGTTGTAGATGATTTGTTCTCTTGGTTTTTTCAAACATGCAGAGAACTGGAAAGTTTTCTAAACTTCTATTTTTGAAAAATTCGCGTAAGCATCGGGATCTGGTTCGCGAAAATATTGGTGAATCGAATTTTTGCCAAATTTATGCCACATATATTTTCGTACGACTACTAATATATAATCTTCTATCAAGTTCTAAATATTACCGCTTTCAGTTCTGGATTAATGAAAAAACAGGACGGTGCAAGCTACATGAATTTCACTTCAGCTTATTTTGGTGACTTACCTTAGTGACAGAATTCGTTTGTTTTGTAATCATAGACATCAATGTTCATCTTTTTTCTGACGAATGAGATCTTCGTCATAACTAAGTGGTAAATTTCAGTCTGGATTTCAATCCCATGACAAAAAACTTTATTGTTCACCGCCCGTATGATTCAGTTTCTATCACAAACACGTGAAAAAAGAGTAGAATAGTCGAATTTTATTAAAACAATGTGGTTGTTATGAAAGAAATGTATTTTAAAAAAAGATTGGCATTGTTAGAAATAATTTTTTACAGTTTTGGAAGAAAACTATCGAAAAAATGGATGACGGAAAATATAATAGCAATCAGTTTCAAAAACGATTTCACGATCCAGTTTCGGGTCTGCTCACTTCTGCCCGTCTTTTGCGATAGTTGATTACATAATAAATGTATGAGGCACATATAGAGCCATGTTTATTATCATCCAACCAAATAATGAGTAGTCACAATCAAATTAAGTATTCCATTAATGATCTGAAATCATTACCCAATCTTGATAATATAGCATCAACTAATTTAATCTTAGAGGATATAAAATTTCGAAAAACATGTTTATCAAACTTGAGAAAAAGTTTACAAGCAATGGTATCAACAGTTGCCACTCATCCATATGTTGTACATTTCAATGAAAAATTAAATGAAGCAAAAATTATGGAAAATTCAATTGAAACTATTGAAAATGAAATTATTAATCTTCAAACAATATTTAATGATATTGATCAATGTACAACAAATTATATAAATATATTAAAAGATGACGATAATGAATATAATTGTTCTAGATTTATTAGAAACTGTGAACTATTACGTGTAAGAATAGAACAGTTAGAAATTGAAGAAACTTTTCCAAAATTAACAGAAAAAATGAATCTCTGGAAAAATATTTATGATACTGATGAACAATTTAAACCAAAAATAATTGAACTTCTTGAAACTATTGAAAAAGATTTATTAGATAAATATGGTGAAGAAAGTACAGCCTATGCCATTCCCTATAAAGTTGGAATTCTTGGGAGTAGAAGTGTTGGTAAAAGTACATTTTCAAATTATGTTCGAGATGTTACAAATGAACAAGATCCGTTATTTTCTCCAACAGCTCTCGAAAAAAGTACATTTTGTTATTTACAATTTGATAAAGAATATCCATGTCCAAGAAACAATACGAAGCAAATTTCAATTAGCTTTATTGATATGCGATTATTCATTTACTACACCACACTATATCCCAAAAAGTTTGCAGTCATTACTATTGATTCTATTTTACATAGTTTTAAAATGTTGTGAATAGACAGTAAAGCTATTTTTTTGCTGCAGCATAATTATTGAACAGATAGAATTGAAGGTTGCACCGATAATGAACAAAATATTGAATTTGCTAATTATATTAATGAAATAGGAAAAGCAGATTGTGATTTATATCTAATTCTTTATGATCGAGAATTTTCTCAATTAGAATTAAGCTGGAAAAGAAATATTGAAAATGTACTAAATCGAAAATGTTTAATTGTTCGAACAAAAGTTGATCGTCTATTTCTCGATTGTTATGAACAAATGTTTCGTACAGAATTTAATGAAAATTCAATTGATGATCAACATAAAATAAAACGAATTCTTGATAAAGTACGTATAATTGCACGTACAACTCACTATGGTGAAAAACTTGAAGAAGTTTATCTAATGGCAGCAAAATCTAATCGTTCTATTCGTAATACAAATTTTGCTAATTTTGATAAAGATAAATTAATTCAAACTATTCTTCAATTAGCATTAAGTGATGGTCGGGAAGAACGTTTAAGAAAAATGGCTATCATTGCAGCAGCTGATATAATTAATACATGTTTTAGACGTGGTTCTATTATATCAGTTATGAAATATAAAATTGCTGCTGGTATTCTTTCTATTGTACCACTTGCTGATGAAATACCAAGATATGTTGGTAGAGAAAAAGTTCGACAAGTATTTGGAATTCATGACCAAGCATATTTAACAAATAAATACAATGAAACAACTGATAAATTACAAACATATTTACTAAAATATCAGTTCTATCTTCCACAATATGAATTAAGTACGGATGCTTTTAAATATTTAGTTAAAAAAACCAAGGACACCGACGATAATCAAACAAATACCAATGTCAGTACAACTACAATGAACAAATTAAATCCAACAAATTATACGAGAAACATTCAATTAAAAAATGTAAGGACTAAAAAGGGTAAAATACTACAAAAACTGGCTCCGGTAGGTGGTCGTGTGCTGTTACCTATTTTTGCAGCAACAGATGATATTGTTCGTGTAGCAGTGCCAGCCGCTGCAGCAGGATTACGGGTAGGTTTAACAGCTGCTACCGCTGGAATTGGATTTGTACTATCCATTCCATTATGCGCATGGGCAGCCATATCGAACGGAAAACAGATACATAATTATTTACATTTACTTTGTGATGATTTATTAGTTTTAATCGAATATTTTATAACAGCTGTTATTAATCGTTGTTTAGAAGATCATAGTATTGATGATGATTATGAAATAATAACAACTGATGGTAATTTTGATCGTTTATCTTTCCAACAAGTTTTCGAATAATTCTTAAAGCAAGCTACTTAATAAATTATAATAACTGATACTTGTATTTTTCAAATTCTTTTTTACCATTATTTTTAATTACAGAATGAGAAATGTACTGTTTTATATAATAAAATAACATTTTATAGGTAGATATAAAATATTTCCCTAATCCTATTGATTATTGTCAGAGGCGACGGAATGATTTCAAATGGGGTAAGGCTGAATTTAAGACATTCTGCGAAAAGAATTTTTTCCATATTTTTGGTTATTAATAAAAAGCAGAATTGTATGGAGTAATGGGTTCTAGTAGAAGAAATAAAATTCCTCAACCTGACACCCAAGCAGAAACGACCCAATTTTTTGGTTTATTTATCTAGATTCAGGTCCACGTGCATCTAGATGTACGTGGAGCTGAATCTAGATAAATAACCCAAAAAAATGGGGCGTTTTTGCTTGGGCAGGCGCCTTTTGTGTTCTTTGCTTCAGAAAATATGAGAATTTAAACGCATTTTCTCTAGTAAAATTAGTAGTGTAAAAAAAAAGCATGAGGTGAGGCTCAGTCTCAACCTTTTATGTATTGAAAAAGGTCAAAAGTAAAACTTATCCTAAGCTTTTAGGAATCGAGTCTATCCAATCATAGTAAACGGCCAGGATAAGGTTTAGAAACGAGTCTAGCACGCTGTAAGGCGGCAAATAGACTTTGACGCATTTTCGACCGCTCTTGTTAAGCTGTTTTCTTTGGCATACATTTCATTTTTCTTTAAAAACATTAGAAATACACCGCCGAACGCAGTGAAAAGCTCACAGCAACTAAAAATATCAAAAGATTTTATTCAAGAATCTTTTTATCATCGAGCAAGAAAGCTAAATACTGTACTGTAAGATTCGTAAGACGTTTCTAATAGGAAATGTTAAAAAAATGACTTTCATAGTAAACAAATATATTAGAGAAAGAAACCGTTCCTTTCCATGAGTAAGGATGGTTGTTCTATCCCAGGCAAAAAATCCTATATGAAAATATCTAGATATTTTACTGTAGTATTGGGTAATACTATGCCCAATATATCTAGATAACCTAATAGACGTGACACTTGTACCTAGATATTTTATAGTAGGATTGTCCAATATCATAATAAAATATCTAGATACTTCACAAGATTTCTTACTTGGGCATGTGGTAGTGCCCAATATACGTTACTTTTTATTTGGGTATACATATATATACACACACACATACACGAAATATATAATAGTCACTGATGTCAGCCCATTGTTTTCGCTTTGTAGCCGACATTACATGCTATTCGTTATAATTACTCAAAAAATTCCGAATGCACCCTGAGAGCTCATATTCAAAAATTTTAACTAATTCCTATATCAGAAGTCTGTTTCCTTTATATGCGACAAATAACTTAAAATGAGAGAGTGGAGAATCCTCTATCATCCGTTGCTGCAGTAACGAGCAGTCAATGGGTGAAATCTGAAAAGAAATCCTTTGTTTTATCATTTTCTTCTACCATAATCGCCTAGGTAAGGGATGCCGTCACACTGTTCATCGCTTGTTCATCGTCACGACGCGGGTGTTTGTCGTAAAAAAGACTAGTCGGGACGGTCGTCCGGACTCGGAAAAAAGACTAGTTATTTCACCCGTCTTTTGCTTAGGGATGCCGTCACATTGTTCATCGCTTAAAGCGCTTTCTATATTTGATAGATCTATTCACAGAAACGAAAAAAGAAAAGTAAGAAACGATAGAGAGTGAACCAGAGATTTTTTTCCTAAAATAGAAGAAGAGAACAGAAAAGAACAATATAACGTTGATATACATCAGCATCTTTTCTAAGAAGAGTAAACGTATCATCGACAAACGTCTTCCAATACATTACTCCATTTGTTTGCAACCTACACATCAATTTTGATTCAGTTACATTAGGCCACGTTCACACTACAAAGTTTTCAGAATTAACTCTGAGTTAACTCGAAGTTAACTTCGAGATCGTTCACACCTAAATCTTTTTGATACACCAATAAGATTTTGAAATTTCCCCTAAAATTGTGCTGCTTCCTGGCTTCAGTATTCTCCAAGGTTGCGGCTTGCTAACAGCCGGCTGGTTTGAATTCACGTTCTATAGTTGACTTCCTGCTCAAAACAGACAAATTGAGTAGAGAGTCAGATGTTTGAACTGCCGCTAGTTTCCTTGTATAATGAAACCGTATTATTGGTTAATGAGCTGATTTATGATTGGAGAGTTACAGTTAAATGAAATCCGAAACATCATTTAACTCAGAGTTAACTTTTTGACCAATCGGCTTCGTTTTTGCTCATTTAACTTTTGTAGTCTGAACGTGGCTTTAGGAAGAATGTACTGTACTGCTTCTTCTTTCGAAGAGGATGTGTGGACTGATGAGACGCTTCTGTCAGAAGAATACTCTTGTCCCAATTGGTCTAGTGGTTAGGATTCCGCCCTTTCACGGCGGCGGCCCGGGTTCGATTCCCGGATTGGGAATGATTTATTTTTGTTTCTTTTTCTTTCTATGATCGATACTGGGCAAAATGATACCTATAAAGTGAAAATAAATGCTGACTGCGCAAAATGATTGCGATACCTTGAGGTTTGATAGACGGATATTTTGAACAACACGCTTAATATATTACTCATTGAATAATTTCTCAATCATATCAGTAATAACAATAAAATCTTTACTTTGACACGAACAGTTAGTTGAGATCCCCGACTTCCTGCCCGCGGAAAAAAAAACAAGTGAGAGAAATGTCTAAAAGGAAAATAGAGTAACTGTTGAATAGAAATTTTTCAATTTTATGTACGTGAATACATTTTTTTCTTAATGGAACTCTCCTAGCCCGATGCTCATATTCAAAATAAGAATAAAAAGTTTCGTAATAAATTTATAATTAAATAAGCAATGTATGAAGACATTGTATTAACATTGAAAGTGGACTGGGATTCATCAAAGTTTAAATTCTGCTCAAATTCCAATTTCAGATTAGTTACAATCGGGGAACAATAAACTGTTTATGGTGATATGAGAAGTGCATCGGATGGAAACTTCAACTGGATTTTGCATGTCAAAGATCACCTCTTCAAATTCTCGTGGGGTTATCCATTACAAAAAACAAAAGAAGTCGAAACTATTGCCGAAAAATTATCAAGTCAGTTTTATCTATTTCGTGCCTCAATAATTTTTCAATCGGACAACGGCAAAGAATTTGTGGTTCCGTTTATTAAACTACTTCAATAACTCGAGCGACAAATTCTTACGAGAAGATAGAGATTTTGTGAAAAATAAGAAGTCTAAGAATTATATACTCTCGCCTTGCAACAAATCACATCATGACGAATTTTATTATTACGATTTGTCTGGAAAAGAATCAGCATTCATTTTATTCGAAAAAAATTCGACGACACTGCTTAACGACCATCATTATAGTATCCCCCTAAACAAAATAACTTTTTTAAAAGCGGTTATCTCGTAGCGGTTACCACAACATGTACGGCTTTTAGCAGACAAAGACTACGCTATTCGAAACTATTTTATTTGGTTTCAGCATAAAACAGTGAGTATATCCATGTACATTTGACACAAGTTCATTGTCCTGATGTCTGCGAACAGGATCGACTAAGTTCGTCCACGGACGTTTTGACACCTCCTTACCACAAATGTATCAAGTCCTTTTAGATATGAGATGAAGCCAAAATGTTTGCATCATTAGACTCGCCACATCCGCATGAAAAAAGATACGTATCGGTTTTGAAAAATATTGCTTCGTTGTTAAGAAAATTAATGGAATTAAGATAGAAAAAACGCCGACGGTTAGCGTTTTTCCTGATGGTGTAATGGTTCAAACGAACGTAGAAATATACCTTCATCGGTTAACAAAAAAGCTAGATAGGTTTACCATCGGAGCAGCCGCTGGTCTGAGAGCCTTCACTGGACCTGGAAAATTTTCGGGAACATTATATACGTCGTTACAGAGAAAAGTCAATTTTCAGTGATGGATTAGCTTTTTCACTTTTTGTGACAGTTGCGGTATTTTGAAAATTTTTCCGCCAAAGTTTACTCAAATCATTTTTTGTATTGCTTCTTTTGAAGAAGATGTGTGGACTGATGAGACGCTTCTGTCAGAAGAATACTCTTGTCCCAATTGGTCTAGTGGTTAGGATTCCGCCCTTTCACGGCGGCGGCCCGGGTTCGATTCCCGGATTGGGAACGATTTATTTTTGTTTCTTTTCGTTTCTTTCTATTATCGTGCGTCATAAAAGCAATAGTCATCGTGCAGGTTGTGCTAGATCCCTTTCACATACTTTATTTTCAAGGAAACAAAACAGAGCGAGCGAATCTCTTAGCGATGTGTTAGGAAGTATAAACTAAATCTCATATCAGCTGTCATCTTTCAATATACATATTCTTATCGTCACTCGATGGTTATTTTCCCTTTCTGTTCTTCTGATATATGTATTCACTCTTCTGCTTTTTA